TCTTCTGAGAAGTGTCTGTTCAGGTCCTTGGCCCATTTACTGATTGGGTTATTTGTTTTATTGGTACTTAGCTTCTTGAGTTCTTTATATAACCTAGAGATTAGTGCTCTATCTGATGTGTGAGGGGTAAAGATTTGCTCCCAGGATGTAGGCTCTCTGTTCACCTTACAGATTGTTTCTTTTGCTGAGAATAAACTTTTTAGTTTGAATCCATTCCATTTATTGATTCTTGGTTTTAATTCTTGCACTATAGGAGTCTACCTTTCACTTTTCAATTTTAACAAACATAAGTGAATCAGAATTTTGGTTATATCCAATATATTTTGATAGCCAATATTATTATCATTATTTTGTATCTATTTTTTCCTAAATAACTTCTTGAAATTCATTATTTATAGTGTTTTAAAATTTCAATTTGTTAATTTCAAAATTGTATGCATTTTAATAATTTTTAATTTCATRTTATATGCTTAAATAATTTAAGTTTGACATTTAAATAATTTATTTAAATATTTTATATGTTTGACATGTTAGAGATTTCTTTGTTACCTACCATATTATTTGTTTTAGTGAAATTTTCTTGTGCATTTTGAAAAGCAAAGGTGTGTATTGGGGGCRTGTATATATTTATATGATAAATTTGGATATTTCAAGTTATTTAAGTTATAATAACTTGGTATATATATGTATACATATGTGTTGGAGCACATATCTGTGTATTCCCTGTTTTTAGACTTAAGAGTATTCATAARTCTTGTAAGTTGGTTGCATTAATAACAATATTTAACCCCTGTGTGCCTGCATGTGTTTTGACTAGCATAGCTGAAGTTTACTGAGCATTTGTTAGGTACGAGGTCTTGTGCCAAATGAAAATGTTAATTCATCTCAATATTTACAACAGTTCTCACTACTATTTTTCTAGAAGGCTAAAGTTGACTTAAAGTTTTCCTCTATTTGTTCTAGTGGCTGCTCTTCAGCTCTTAGCCACCGCAAGATTCTCCTAGTGACCTTCAGGAGATAGTAGTGGACTCTCAAACCCTCCTCTATGAGTGTGTGTTTGGCATTGACACTATTTTCAGACTATTATTAAATATAATAATATTACAGTTGACATTTTCCTAGATATGACTTTATATTGTATTCAAATTATTTTGTTAGGATATAATATTTTTATCTTGAGAGAAAAAGACGTGAATTCTTTTATGGATCTGTGACTGTGCATGTTTTTATGATGCCAACTTATTTTACAAACGTCTTACACCAGTGTGCTCAGCCAATAACAATAAAGGAATAAGTGCACTCGTTTTACTCTATCTTCCTCAGTGTCAGGTACCATAAAACAAATAAGTGGATCTTAGCTGAGAACATATTTTGCAGGAGGAAATGTGGACATGCGTTGTTTTATTTGGTCAGTATGTACTGGGGCTGTATGCTGTACCCCAAAGATGGTCTACTACTAGAGACAGAATGCTGAACAGGCAGGAAGTAAGAGATGGGAAGAGCCAAGGAGAGGGGTCTTGAGAGTTTTCTTAGGAGCGTATGGAGTGAGGTGTCAGCCAGTCTGAAGAGGAAATGGCAGCCTTTGCTCTTGTGACCATGTGCTATAAAATGCTTGTTGATCTTGTAGTTGCTACAGGGCTGAAGATTCATCGTAATGTAACAACTAATTAAGGGACATATTTGAATGTGCTTCATTTTGCAGGCTAATTATACTTTTTATTTTGTGGACAATCTAAAAATTTTATCAGAAACACTGCTGAAGCTATCAAGTCTTTTCCAGGGAAGTGGAAATGGCCAGATGTTCAGCCAACTGCAGGTGAGTGGTGAGTGCCTTAGCCACTGAGGCTGGGAGAGCTGCCTGCTAGAGTCTGTCTGAGACATTGGAGCAGSCCTCTAAAAGATTCTACAAAGTCCTATCAGGCATGGTTTTCCCAGATGAATAGTAGAATTGACATAAGATTGGATTCATGTAAGAACTTCTTGTKTCTTCCCAGTGTCTACTCATGCAAAACAGTGCTATTATGTGAATAAAGAATAATTTAATAATATTTACCAATTCCATATTAAATTTATTTTAAAGAGTTTGCATTCTTTTCAATTACAAATTTATTTTTTGTTATCATTTTCTAAGATTCTGTATTGACAACCTAATRTTGACAAAATAAGTGGCTTACGGTTTTAAATGGCTTCTTCAGAGTGCGACCATCATTAACAGCTAAACAGGTAGTTTACCTAGTAACATTTTAGGGAATTTTTGAAATCCTAGCTTATGTTAGATCTGACCAGAGAAAATAGGTCTGCATTTTGGTTCATGTTTGGTTTATTTTTTACCGATTAGACAAGTAGTTCAGGTTGTGGAATGTAGAGCCAGGTCATTTGGGTTTGAGTACAAATTCCTCTGCATTCCACCACCTGTGTGATCTTGTACTTGTTGCTGAACCTCTCTGGGCTGTGGGCCTCATACTTGTGAAATGAGGAAATAATAGTAGCTATGAGGTCTAAGTGAGATGGGATATGTAAGGCACTTAGAAATAAGGTGTGACACAGAGGAAATACTGCAGTGTGATTCCAGGTCCTCCAAGAAGCAGATGCCAAGGTGAGATTCTATGCAAGAATTTTATTATGAGAAATGGCTCTTAAAAAAAGAAGGAGCTGGAAAAGTTTTTTGGCAAGGTCATCTCCAACAGTGATGCAAATCAAACCTGGAGAGAAGGTAGGAGGTATTCTGTTCAGCCCTGCAATTGAATGAACATTGGGCAAGTCTGTGAAGGAGCTGTGGAGATAAAGTTGGTTATCAACAGAGGAGTCCTGGATCCCAAGTCCCAGTGGCTCCTAGGAGTGGGCTTACCAWGATGGTCATCGTCCAGGAGCAGTCTGTGGAGGTGCAGAGTCTGGGCAAACTGGTGCATGCAGAATGCAACAGTGGGAACTTGGTCCCTTCTGTTCCTTGGAGTTGGAGGTCTGTGATGCTAATTTTTTAAAGTGGCCTYAGGTATATTCCTTAGCTATTATTGTATGGTTATTCTTCTTTAATTTGTTTGCTCATGGATTAAGTTGTTAATAAATAGATCAGCAAACATTTTTTCTGCAATGGTCCAGGTAGTAAATAGTTTAGATTTTGATAAGGACTCTGCTGCCACTGCAAATAGTGACACACAATATTATGTGAAGTGCCAAGCTGACAGAATTGAAAGTACCTTGATTACATAAAGATGTACCTAACCCTGCCTCAAACACTGGGCAGCTCCTTTGGAAGTCTGTAGTTCAGCTGAGTGCTGTTTACTCCGTAGTCATGTCAGAAGTTAAAGTCACATATACAATCACCTGAAGAACTTTTTATCTTACAACGAATCTCATAAGTTTTATTCTATTTCTTAGCATTGGCATCATGTTCAGGGAGAGCTACCAGTGTCTGTGGTGAAGTCCAAACTTGGTTMTGCCACTAGATGGCGGTGTTGGTGCCTTTAGGAGATGCCCATAATTTAGCCCTGTTTTCCCCATCAGTAAAAGGCAACAGTAATTTCCGCATGGAGTGTCCCTGAGATTAAATGACATAATGTATAACAAAGTACCCTGTATGTTATCTGGCAAATAACTAATATCCAAAGAAAGAAGATAGGATTGTTTTTAAAAAAGTACAAGCACTCAGATTTCATAATAAAGTCTTGTCATCCTCAGACATAATTAGGTAGAATCATCATGTGAAGCGAAGCWAGTATGAGGAATGCAGAAGGTACATGCTATTTGAGAATTCCAACATGAAATTCTTAGGTATGAGCTTATGTGGGGCAACAAAGTGTGCATAACATATAAATATTCTCCAGAGAACTARTAAATCCCAACATTAATCTTACTTTTTCATTCTGGTATTCAGCCTCAGTGTATCAGTATTTTTTTTTTTTTGTCAGATGTTGGATGTAGAAGTATAATGAAAGTAAACGCATGCTAATTTCAAAATCAAGATGCAAAATTTCATTAAGGTGATGACAATCATTTTGGAGAAATCTCCATAGTAAAACCTTTGACAAATGGGATAGTGTTAGAGCCACTGATAATGGGAGGACAGTGGTACAGATGATGCAATGAAAGGTTCTTCCAAAGATGAAGATTTGCACATTATAGGCTTAAAAGAGGGCTGAGGAAAAGTCAGAGTCCCTTCTTCAGGGTTTTGGATGATCCCTTCTTTACAACCAGCCTGTGGAAAGGTCATGTGAAGGAAGAGATCATATATAAAATAAAGGAGCTCCATATAGCTCCATTAGAAGAGTTTGCCCCAAAAGTCACTGATTAATTTATTTCTCATTTTCAGTATTAGCATATCATTACAATAATACCCTAAAATTTCATAATCATTACTTTGGTTTTTCAAGGTAAAAACTTAATTAAATGTTAGCTCCTTGTTTATTGTGATGTTTTAGAACTTCTCTTAAGTGGATTTGGTTTGCCTTTTTCTAATAAGATGAAACGTTGAATAAGTCTAGTAAGTTATTCAATAAGGAGACATAATACAATTATTTTTTTAAAGCTCTACCATTTTCCTTTAGGAAGCGCTGAAAAACAAATTTATAAGAAACTTTGTAGAAAGCCAATTGCACATTGATGTGGACAAACTCACTGAAAACCTCCAGACATATGGTGAGTGAGCTGATGCACAGGTCAGGGTTCATCTGTTCAGTGGCTCTGCCCTGTAGGTCTTCCCCTTTGGTCATGAGTTTCTGGGTGATATTTCCAGGTTACTTGTCCTTTTGGTTTCTATGTTCTTATCTGTAACCTGAAACGCTTGAACCAAATACACTYCAAAGTTTGTGCATACCTGTAGTTTTCTGATTTGATGCTTCAGGGTTTGACTTGTAAAAAACTTAGTTAAAAAGAAAGGCTTCTGATTGGAATGCAAAAACTCTGAGTTACAAAGCAAGTGTATGAAAAAGTTAATATTGAGTTAATAGTATATTGAAAGCAGTTGCATTGACTTGAAAATGTGGAAATCAGATTAAAAAAAATCTACCGATTAGCAAACATTTATTATACTTCTACTACAGTCCATGAATACATGTAGGTGTTTCACAAATAGAAGATACAAAGACATGGATCCCTAGTCCATGCAGGGATCTCTAGAGGAGTGTGAACTATTTTGGTTCCACAGCACACTGCAGAAGATGGGATACCCATGCTTAGAAGCAGTGAGACAGAATCAAGACTCTGTCAGGGATATGACAAGGGGCATGTCAAGGGCATGCCAAGGTCAGTAGCCTAACCCCGCTGGGGGACCTGGAGACAAGAAAAAGATACATGTCASTTTTCTGGTTCTGGTACATTGGCATTCTGCTTTGTGCAAGGGACAAGGCTCAGATATGCTTGAAGCAGTGGCTTAGAAGAAGGCAAGGTTTTCTATTAGGCATAGTACTTCCCTTCTATGAAAAAGTATTTGGTAAATGTACCACTTAATTAATGTTAATAATACAGGTTGCAGCCTGGGTTCGATCCTCAGCACCACATACAAACAAAGATGTTGTGTTTGCCGAAAACTAAAAAATAAATATTAAAAAAATTCTCTCTCTCTCTCTCTCTCTCTCTCTCTCTCTTAAAAAAAAAAATAGAGGTTGAGTATCCCTTGCCTGAAATACTTGGAACTATTTGAGATTTGGGATGTTTTTAGATTTTTGGAGTATTTGAATATGCATCATGTATTAGCTTGGGAATAGGACCCAAGTCTAAACACAAAATTCCTTATGCTTCATGTATATCTTATATACAGTTAAAAGGTACATGATAATTTTAATGATGCTTGTAAAACTACAGTTTTACWGTATGGAATTTTCCACCTATGGCTTCATTTCAGCACTCTGAAAGTTTCAGATTTTGAAGTATTTCAGATGGTTTTAGGTTTTATGATTTTAGGATGCTTAATCTGTATTGCAAAATAAATATCACTGCCTAAATAATATTTTCAATTAAAACATTTTTGTAAAACATGTCTTAATTGAAAAGCTTATTATAACAAGGCTCCCATCTTGTGTTGCAACCAAGGATTGACAGAAGTCCAAGAGACTTTTGGTCCAGAACACGCATGGTCTCATCCCTTTGCATATGCAGTGGTGTGGATGTTGATTTGGTTGTCTTACAGTGTGCAATGTACTTGGATACCATTTGTTCAAAATGCTGCTGCTGAGAACCAACTGTTGAAACAGATATTTTGCTAAAGGACCCAACCACAACAATTGTAGAGGAGGAAGAGTTTATTTGGATGCTTATGATTTCAGAGGTCTCAATCCATAGACAGCCGCTCCATTACTTTTGGGGCTCGAGGTGAGGCAGAAAATCATGATGGCAGAGTGTGGCAGAGGGAAACAGCTCACATGGTAATCTGAAAGCAGAGAAATAGAAAAACTCCACCCTTCAGATACAAATATGTACTCCAAAGCCACATTCCCAAGTCCCACCTCCTCCAGCCTCACCCCACCTGCCTCCAGTTACCACTCAGTGAGCCCCATCAGGATTAATTCACTCACTGGGTTAAAACTCTTAGGACCCAATCATTTCTCTTTGGAACCTTCCTGCAGTGCCTAACACATGAGCTTTGGGGGGATACCTCATATCCAAACCATAACAACAACATTGCTTTTGAATAGTTTTTTTCCATATATAAACTTATATTATAAAATTAAGGGGAACTCAGAAATTCAGACATTTCTCTACAAGTGTGTGGGATCCCAAAATGTGGGATTCACATGGAAGTTTCAGATTATGAAGTGAATTCCTTCCCCTGTCCCCAATTTGGAGACTGAAGATCCTCTTATCAGCTAGGAGGGAATGGGTTATTTTCCAAGTGACTCTGCACAGCCCTTCATGAAAAAGCACAGTGTGAAGACAGGCACCTTGCAAGGCTCTGGTTGTGGAGGATTGATCACAGAGGAGAGGCAAATCTCTATTCAGTTTTTGATTTTTGTGATGCTGAGGACCCTATGCATGCTAGGCAAGTGCTCTAACTCTGAGCTGGACCCTGCACATCCCATTTATAACTCCTTAGCTAAAGAATTCACTCACCTTTCTGCATACATCCTTTTAAAATTTAGACCTTCATCATACATATATTTATTCATCCTATAACCAGTATCTGGAGACTGCCCTAAAATGACTATTTGAAATTATATTGATGCAATCCCTAGGAATGTTTTCCTACCCACTGTGTCGATTTTATACATTATATAATTTTATTTTTTTTTTTTGCTTGTCATACAAGCAATATATATCTGTCATAGAACCATTACAAGATACAAATAAACCAGAAGAAAAAACCACCCTTCATCTCATCAAAGATAGCTATTGTAAAAGCCTTGGCGTTCTTTTTCAGACAGATTTATATGTACTTACATGAGTGCAGGTATGTGCATTTTGACAAAAATGATCAGATTATCCTTATCATTTTTAAAATGGTTTGTAAAAACTGTATTGAAAAGGTTCTTCATATTCAAAACTATTGACTTTGTTACTAAGAGTGTTCTGAGCCCCTTCCCTTCCATTTTTACTCCCGAGTATGAATTGCTTTAAACTTATTTAGTGATTTCTTCTGGATTGGTTATTATAGCCTTAAATGATATGCCTATAGTAGTCTTTCTTGATTTATTCATTGTAGGAATTATCAATTGATTTCCTGTTCTGAAGGATGCAGATTGAGTTCTGCATCACACCATTTCCCCGCCTGGTTGCTCCCACTCTGGTTATATGACCATTCTAGTTGTAATAAAACATAATGACTAGATAAATATTGTCCTATGAAGAACTAGGCTATGCATGATAATGAAATTTCCTTTTTTACCATGTTCCCCCTTTCCTGAAGATTCTCGTTTTCTTGCTTTTACATGCAACATTTGCTCTTCCTTACCCTGCCCCCACTGTGTCAATCTCTTCTTTATGTTTAGTCCTTCTGTCTATGCAGACAGCTGGCAGAGCCCCTCCCTCCCTCACACCCTTGAAAAGGCAATTGATCCTTCTGACCATCACTGGGCTGCTTTCCTGGGAATTCTTTGCTGTCTGGGCATGGGCTACCAAAAGTCCTGGGTTCCACATCTTCATTTTAATTTTATTTCCATGTTGTGTTAGCTCACATTCAAAAATGTCATCTGAAAGATGGGTGCACAAAGGAAAAAAAATCGGAGTAATTTTACCTAGCAGTCTCATCAAATCTGAAGATTTGGTGGAAATATTTTATTCTTGATTTTTTTTAATAACAATGATTTGTATACTCTCTCTTCTATCTCTCTTTCCCTACCCCTTTTTTATCAGTCTTGTTAGAAAATATCAATATTTATTAATATTTTCACAAAAATATTTGATTTATTGCATTATCTCTTTATGTTTATTTTCTATTTCATTAATTTTGGGTCTTTTCTGATCATAAAATGATGATTGGCCTCATCATTTTATGATCTTTGCTGGTTATTTTGTTGTTGTTGTCATTTACCCAGGATTGAATCCAGAGATGTTCAACCACTTAGCCACATCCCCAGCTCTTTTTATATTTTGAGACAGGGTCTTGATAAGTTGCTTAAGGCTTTGCTAAGTTGCTGAGACTGGCTTTGACCTTGCCATCCTTCTGCATCAGCCTTCTAAGCCATTGGGATTAGAGGTGTGTGCCACTGTGTCTGTTTTTTCTTTTCTTTTTCCAAATAACTCCTTGAGTTGGATACTTATATCATCAATTTCCATCCTTTTAATCTTTTCTATATTAATACATATTATGTTATATATATATATGACTAAACATTTCCCTTTGAACATTGCCTTAAATGAATCTCACAAATTTTGATATGTTCCAATTACGTTATCAATTAAAACTATTTTTTTTCATATCTAGTATAATTTTTTTGTGTTGGGTAATTTAAAAGACTATAGTTTCTACATATTTGGATTTTCTATTATCTTTATATCTCTGTTTCACAGTGGTCAGGGAATGTCCTCTGTCAAAATGATGACATTTGTTTCAAATCTCTTGAGGCTCGCTTACTGTCTATACACATGGTTAATGTTGGTTTCTGCATACAGTGGTTCTGCTACTGTTGAGTACAATCCTGTGTATCCTGTGCTTGTTCTATCAGTTATTAATTTACCATTATGATTGTAGATCTGTTTCTCCTGTAAGTTCTGTTAATTTTGGTCTTATATATTTTGATACTGTATTTTATTTTCCTCTGAGAACATATATGAGATATTTATATTTCCCCATTAGTATTTCAATTCTTCCTTTCCTCCCTTCCTTTCTTTCTCTCTTCTTCTCTCTTCCTTTTCCCTCTCCCTCCTTGTTTCCTCTCTCCACTCTTTTTTTCCCCAGTTCTTCCCTTTCCTTTTCAGAAGTTTTAGTGTGACTTGATTTGGTATTTTATTTTTTTTTTTTTTTAAGGAGAATAACTGCACGGTTTTGTAGCACTTCTTGAATCAGTGGCTTGGTAGCTTACATTTTGGAAAAGTCGTGGCCATTATGTGATATAATATTTCTTTTGACCATTTCTTTCTGTCCTTTTCTGCAACTCTAATTAGACATGACTAAAAATTTTCATACTATCCCTATTGGTCTTATATTCCTTTCAATGTTTTCCAACATTTTATTTTCTCTCTCTGCTTCAGTTTGTGAATTTTTT